ATGAGAGAGAGAATGAGAGAGAGAGAGAGAATGAGAGAGAATGAGAGAGAATGAGAGAGAGAATGAGAGAGAGAGAGAGAGAATGAGAGTGAGAGAATGAGAGTGAGAGAATGAGAGTGAGAGAGAGAGAATGAGAGAGAGAATGAGAGGGAGAGAATAAGAGAGAGAATAAGAGAGAGAATAAGAGAGAATAAGAGAGAGAATAAGAGAGAATAAGAGATAATGAGAGAATGAGAGAAAGAGAGAATGAGAGAATGATAGAGAGATAACAAGAGAGATAATGAGAGAGCATGAGAGAAGAGACAATGAGAGAAGAGAGCATGAGAGAAGTGTGAGAGAATGAGAGTGGGAGAGAGAAAGAATGAGAGACAATGAGTGAGACAATGAGATACACACACAATGAGACAGAGAGACAATGAGAGAAAACAAGAAAAAACGAGAGACAATCCTGAGAAAAAACGAGAATGAGAGAAAGAACTATAGAGAGAACAAGAGAGAGAGAAAATGAGGGAGAGGGGGAAAGAGAGAATGAGGGAGAGGGGGAGAGAGAAAATGAAGGAGAGGGGGAGAGAGAAAATGAGAGAGAGAACGAGAGACAAAGAGAACAAGAGAATGAGAGAACGAGAAAGAGAGAATGAAAGAACGAGACAGGAGACAATGAGAGATAACAAGAGAGACACAATGCGAGAGAATGAGAGAGAATGAGACAGCCAATGAGAGAGAACGAGACAGGGACAATGAGAGACAACAAGAGACAATGAGAGAGACAACAAGAGACAATGAGAGAACGAGAGAACACGAGACAACGAGAGAGTGAGTTGCATGTGTGAGAGTGAAAGACAGTGGGAGTAGGAGTGTGTGAATAAAAAGACTGCGAGTGAGATTAGTGTTGACATTTCCAGTTTACTTTGTGCCAAAACTGTCACTGGGAGCATAACAAAGAAGGTAAAGATTCCATATCAGTAAGTGAATTAAACCTGTAATTTTTTGGTTGAGTTGTGAGCCTCGTTTTAACATGTGGACCAAGTGGTTTGGTATGACTGTCAACATGAGAACTGCAAAGGTATACAGATGGTAGCTGAATGGCTTAAACATTTTATCATGTGGGCACTGTCCAATTGTTATGTAACCATACAACATGACTGCCAATGTTGTGTGGCTATTTGAACAATATAGTTGATTGATGTTTGATGCATAGAGAGAACTTTGATTAAACTATCAAGGAACTCCTGATCCCTATGCCAGACATCTTTCAATACAAACACATGAATATTCATAAGAACGAGAATGCCACTGCTTCCGTTTCTGCACCTGGGCTATACTAATACAGTTGACCCATAAATAATATTTGCTTATTTGACATGTTTGTCATGGCTCAATTTTCATTTAGACCAATTTTTTTTTAACTATTCATAGTATAATATATAATAGTATATATAATACGGACTCCTCATGTGGCAACGTGTAACTTGCAACTAACACCATGATTTGGCTCCACCCTGCCCTTTCACACTCACTAAACACACTCATCCCATTCCCAACATCTCCTTCCGACACACACACACACACACACACCCACTCTTGCCTATAGAGCACTCACATGTTGTCACATTTGACCATGCATGCCAAAGAGAACCACCGACTAGGCTTCATCAGTCCAGCTGAGACACAAAATTACTTGAGATGTATCTTGTTGTGTCAATAAACTTATTTGAATTTCAACTTCGAACTTTAATTGCCAAATGTTTATCCTGCCACCAAACAGAAGTGGAAATTCTAATGCAGGTTACAAATTTTCATTTTTAAGGTAATAAATTTAACCAGTACAATTTTGTCATGTCTAGAAACGTAACCCTATTTTTTACCATGTATTATTCAATTTACAAACTGCATTTTTACAAAAAATGCCAATTTCCAGAACATAACTACCAAGTTATATAAAGGTTGCCTTTAAAAATATGGATATACTGTATGTGCAATACATGTGGTTATGATGGATGGGGGTTAATGGAGTAGGCTAATAATTGAGTAATGTGGTTGATAGGGGTGTAAGTGTGTTGGCTGACCTGAGTAACATCGAGGTTGTGGCAATGTGTGTGTAACTAAAAGAAAGTGATGTTAAGCACTTTATTACCACTTAACACTTTCGCGCTTTCGATTAGAGATAACTCGTCACTGGTTTTTCTTACGATTCCGCATAACTGCCTACTTTTCTCGTAAATCGAAAAAATATTTCTATAAATTCCATTTTTAACCGAAATGGATGGGGATACTTTTGTTTTCTAGAGAATTTATTTGCGATTTTTCTGGTACCAGAATGAATATTATATCACATAAACTTCTATGAGTAAAAAAAAAAATACACAAAGTATGTTTGGGGGTGTGGCGAGCGTGTGGCAGTGGGTTCCCTTTAGCCGTTGATATATCCAACACGTGGGAAATATTGGTATGTTTTATGTATATGTCTGTGTAGGGAATTTTACTGCGATCACTGTCATACAAATTATAAAATGTTTCAACAAGTATAAACATGACAAACATCAAACGAACGAAAACAATGCGTTCGTTTCTGCCGCGAACGCGTACTGAGCGACGTGGTTCTATATTTGGCGCTTCTCTTACACATGCTTTGTACAAATGTTATACAGTTCATCTTATAGAAAATTTTATTGCGAACACATTGGTATAAAAAAGAAATACGTACATAGAAAAGTAGGGTCAGGAAACGCATAAATGTATAAACTTTCCAAGCATGATTGTGTTTTCGCCAGTGCGCTCGCGGCTAACTACTCTCCACTTCACACACTCTTGCGGGTGGGCAATTACCTATATTAAACATTCATATGCATATGTCCGTGTAGAGAATTTTATTGCGATTCCAACGATACCAAAATTAGCGATGTAGGACAACTGTAGGCTTCGCAACCATTAAGAGAGTGGAAACATTTTGTTGCTGTTTGGCGCTCTCGGCGAGTGATCTGCATAGTTTTTTATTTGGTGTTGATACTCCTTATGCTTGGGCGGCATTTTATAGGTATGCTCTTATAGACAATTTCATTGCGAACACAGTGATACCAAATTTAAATACGTGCGCTTTCAATTATTGTCAGGACAGTCAAAAGAGTGTACACTTTTTCGGTCTTACCGCATAGGCGCGCGAAGTGCCGAAAGCATCTGGGGTATTTTTTTTTTTTTGAGCGCCGAGAGCGCGAAAGTGTTAATAGCCTTTTGTACTTAATGCATTTTCTTAATTTCTTGTGTTTCAAATCTCATCTTGAACAACAGACATCGATGGTACAGTGTATCTTTTCAAGTTTCTTCAATTCTCTTGCTTTTACAACTTTCACAGATGTGCTGATGCCCTATTCTCTCTCAATATAAGATTTTCCTTGATGACTTTGTTTATTTCTTCAGAATCTTCTATGTAGAAACCACATCCACTCTGCTTTGCTTCACGAAGGCCGTTTAACCACTGCACTGCACTGCCCCACCTAACATAACGCTGGGAATGGCGGTGCGCCACCCGACTCAGGAGCGATGTTAGGATATAATAAGATTCAAAACATGCATGCGGTGGGTTGGTTACGAGATCGAGGCCTAAGGCCTCTAGTGAGAACACAGCCATCTTGAAAAAATTCCCAGCATGCCCAAAGGCCCTGGGTAGGCTCAGTTCTAATTGAGCAACCATGGCTGATGCATGCACCTTCTGCTCCCAATCCGTTGTCGGGCGTGGTGTTGAAAGAGCGCTGTCTTAAGGGGAAATTCAGATATTATTCTTTGAAGAAGAAAAGGATAGTGATATTGATGAACCAAGGTGATTAAAGACCTAACACAAGTGTCCGATACAAGTGATACAGACATGGATGTGGATGATACAGCAACCGTGTCCTGTACAGAGTGAGCGCCTGGCATGTTGCGGCCTCACGGGCCATCGCCCTTGCTAGTATTACCACCACCTGTGTCATCTCCCATTTTTGACGAAAGATAATAAATACTGTAGATGAATCATTTTCTGGGTTTAGTGATGCTGCTTCAGATACAAGTAGCATAGTTAGCAGCTACCATGGTGGTGTTACTAGGCAGAGATTTGCTGTCTCAGCAGCACGCCTTGCCAAGCTGTCGCAGTGTCTCCACCCATGATGACACTGATGACAGTGATGCCTTTACATCTACTTTCTCTGGTTGCCTTACTAGTATATAAGGTAGAAGAGCTTCCATCTCCTGGACAACTGAGATTTAGCGCAAGAAAACTGACTCATAGTGGTGGCGGTGCCAGTACAAGGAGCATGGGTGAACTTGCGTAGGAGGACTGTGATAATTTTGTTGCACATAAGCCACACTTTGATGATACTGAAGACAGGGTTGCACCCACTTTCCCATAGACAAGTGATGACGTAACTGGAAGTGATTTTTTGTGTCATATTTTGATAAGCCATTCATGCACCATCCTGTTGACGAAACCAACAAGTATGCACTACAAATTATTGCAGGCGAGTTATTACCTGCTTAACTTATGATATGTTGGAAGGACACCACTGTGGCCAAGTAACATGTGTTCTTAGCTCTGTGTATGCTTATGAAACACTCTGTGAAGAACGTCATGCAGGAAGTACATGTCATGAGACAGGTTCCTAATGCTACTATGGTACCTACACTTTGAAAACCTTGAAAATGTTTATCAAAATGATCGACTTTGGAAAGTGTGAAAAGTGTTCAGTGATATTAGAGAAAAATTTTGTGATTACTTTGTACCAGGACAGAACG